TCATGGGGCCATGGGGTGCCCAGAGCTTCACATAGGTTCTGTTCTTTTGGCTTCCTGAAACCAGGGCTACCTGTTCATCCCCGTGCTGCTGAAATCAAACAGCAAGCTGATCCACTTGATCAACAATGTCATCAAGAACGACCTGGCTAGCCAGAACCCCACCTTCATGGGCCTGGCCCTGCACTGCATTGCTAGTGTGGACAATTGTGGGATGGCCAAGGCCTTCACTGGGAAGATCCCCAAAGTCCTGATGACCAGGTATATTTCTGCCACATGCCTCCCTTGTGCTCATTGCCCAGGTGTGTAGCAGTACAGCTCACAACCAGAAGCAATCTCCAGTCTCACGGAGGGGGGCACGAAGTGCAGCCCAAAGTAGGATCAAGAATTGACAAACCTAGATCTCAGGGGACATCCAGTCAGACATTCCCTCACTGGTATCCTGAGATTTCAAAAACAGGTCAAAGAGGACTGCCCAGACCCTGCCAGCCACAGCCAGACTGGGAAAGGCTTGAGTTGCCAGGGCTGCCAGAAAGGAGCCACCAGGTCTTTTTGTGGGGCAGCGTGGCTCTTCATCTCACCCTTTCCCAGAAGCATCTCCGAGGATGTAGTCAGGCCCCAGATCCTAAGACTCTTGTCATCAGTCCCCCCTTACTTGGGGCTGAGGAGCTGGCTCTAGATGATTTTCGGGCAGGCTCGGGCTGCCCTGGGGCCTCGCTTAGATGTGGCCTCCACCACCCACACATCCAGAGTGCTCTGCTGAGTTGGAACACTAGCATGACCACATCTGGTGAGCCCCAGCAGGATGTGGGTGACCCAGGACAGCCTGTCAGTGAACTGAGCAGGGCCTTCATGCCATGGGGAAGTGGGTGCCCATCCACTTTGACCCACAGTGCAGACTGGAGCAGAGGTGCTGGGAGGGCATCAGAACATCAGGTCTTGGCCCCCCAGGGCCCCCGGGTCATGTCTCAGGCATTTCTGTCACAGAGGATGCAGCGCTATGCTGTCCTGTCAGTGGGAACCAGCGTGCTGCTCCACAACATACTCTGTGCAGGTTCCCAGAGAGTGAGGCCACCCTGCAGTGTCCAGACCACAGTGGAGGAGGGTTGTGGGAGGGGAGTGGAGGTGGGTAGAGGAGCCAGGCTGCAGAGAGAGCAGGGAGCAGCTTAGATGAAATAACAACTTGGAATTGTGGGATCGCAGAGGTGGGGACAGCAGTAGGACATCCAGAAGGGCAGTCGCACAGCCGAGGAGACAGTGGGCATCAAAAGACACCATCCACACAGACTCAGTGAGTTCAGACCGCAGGGCACGTTGTGGGGCCCTAGAACACGCGACCATGATGAAGGAGACTTGATATGATCCGAGGGGGTGAGGGGGCTGGGAGTTGGAAACACAAAGTTCAGAAGATTCTGACTTGGGGCTATCTGGCGCCCTCTGCACCTCACCTGCTAGGGCAGCCTCAGGGTCACGAGGGAGGCCTCCTGAGCCCCTTTATCCCTCAGGTCACTGTGTGTGTCTTGGAGGAGCAGGCAGACAGATGTTCCTGTAGTAAATGACATGCTGCATGTCCCTAGTGACAGGCAGAAGGGACAGCAAAACCCATGTGCAGAGAGGAGGGTCTGGCAGAAGACACTGCCTGCCACTGGGAGGGACCATGGGGCTTGGTCTGTGCTGCTCAGTGCGTGGTCTCACAGGATAGAGGTCACAGGCAGGCATGCTACCTCAACTCAGGTGACTGCTCAAAGGACCTGCACTGGCCACCCGGTGGCCCAGGTGGTGGGTGACTCAGTGCTTGGAAAGGAGCACCTTGGTCGGAGATCCGCTGTTGCGTCTTCACCTGTAGGTGCATTCCAGGGCAGTGTGTCAGGTCAGCCCTGTCACCCAAAGTAGGGATACAGGCAGGATGAAGGCAGAGGACTGCTGCAGCATCTCTGTGGCCCTGGTGGGCCTGTTGCCTCCCAACTACTTAGTAAGGTCAGGTGGGATCTAGAGCAGGGCTCAGAACACGTCTATGCCCTCTGCAAGCGTGTCAGTAGCAGGCAGAGGAGCCACAGGCCATCTGCCACCCACTGGGTCTGCAGTGAACCCAAGCCCCATGTGCCTACCCTCTGCTGCATGGCAGGGACAGAGCACCCCAGTCCTAAGTTGCTGGCTCCCTCAGCCAAGCCGAGCCAAGGTGAGGGCACATAATGGTTGGAAGGAGGGTGGCTACTGGGAAGATGCTTGAAGTTGTGGGGAGAAGCAGAGCCAGTCACCCACGAGTCCCGCAGGAGGCCGCTGTGGTGGGATGGTATGTGGAAGGAGTGCCTACAGCTTCCAGTTTGCTAAGTTTGTTGATGGGAGTGGAAGTCCCTTTCTTCCTAGGGCCTCAGGAGTAGTGGTGGAGCCCTCTGGGCTGGGGCGTCCTCAGCTCTCCCCTTCCTGGGGACAGTGCCAGGACATCTTAGCCATCACCCACTACTTGCTCCAGGCACAAGGAAGAAGGGTTGGTCACACATAGGGGTAGGCAGGGTTGACCATCACTCTGGTTGAAGAGGTTTCGAGAAGAGCAGAGATTTCCAGGGAGACAGAATTCTGTGGCAGTGTGCGGCCCTTGAGATGCTTCTCTTGTGATTATTGGCTATTAAGTACACATTGTAAAAAGAAAAGTGTGGGAGAGGGGTGGGAACAGAAAAAAGTGTGTTTCAGGGAACCAGGGCACGGGTTGAATGTGGTCAGCCTACATGGTTAGTATTAGGGGAAAATACTACAGTTGACATTTCCAGAGGCAACAAAGTTGCGGGTGAAGGCCTCACAGCAGGCTTCTCTTGTGGTTCATGGAGCAGAAACCCTCAGAGCAAAACCCCACAGAAGGAAGGGCTTGGATTGGCCTTGTCCTGAGCCTGTCCAGGCTATCAGGGGCCTCCACACCAGACCCACCTGCCTCTCGTCTCCTGGAGACTCAGGGGTGTTCTCAGTGCTGTGTGCAACTCATTGAGGCCACATGATTTGAGTGACTCCTTGTGTCTTTCAGAGACATCATGGACAGTGTGAAGCAGAGCATGGCCCTCTGTGTGCTGCATTTATACAGGATGTCTCCTGACCTCGTCCCCATGGGTGACTGGACATCCCCCGTGGTGTACTTCCTCAACAACCAGCATCTGGTTAGTGTTCCTGGATTCCTTCACCCTTCTACCCTAGCAGCCTTTCTCGGGATAGCCATTAGAAAAGCATCTGCTATGACACTTGGGAGACCCAGGATAGCATCCTGCCAGAGCCACTGGGCTGCATGCTTGGGGTGGGTATGCATCGGACCCACTACTGGGCTGAGGCCTTTTCTGGGGAGGATGAGTAAGGTTCTGCCTCTGGCTTGTCCTGTAACTGTCACTGGCAACACCTGCCTGTTTGAAGTGATTCCTGCTGGACAACCTGCCAGCTGCTTGACTTCAGGCTGTGGTGGGGTATCCTACAGTCCCGATCTCAGCTCCACCATGCAGCCCTTTATCCCTGAGATCACCACCCATGCCCAGAAGTTCTCCGCACATTGTAGATGAGGGCTGGAGGCTTAGGACCAGTGAGTGACACGTCCAGGTACGGTGAGACGTGGGCACAGGTGTTCTGAGATTCTTTCTTTTGCTTGATTAATTCTGCTTTCCATGTTGTCATCTTGTTATTTATTTCCTGGATGAAGATTTTTTTTTTTTAATTTTTTTTTTATTATGATGTTGTGGGGTACAGTTAAGGGGTAGGTATACCATAACGTTTCATTCAGGCACCCTGTTGATAAGAGGTGTTTCCCCATCCCAGACAGATATTTGTTACCGTTAATCCCATCTCCCCCCCACCATAGTTTCCCAGTACCGTCAGTCATTTTCTTATAGTATCACATTGGATGTTCAAGGTCCATTATATGAGTGAGAACATGTGATACTCAGATCTTTGTTTCTGTGAGAGGTCACTCAGTATTATAGACTCTAGTTCCATCCAGGTTGCTGCAAAATTCATGATTTTGTTCTTTTTTATGGCCGCATAGTATTCCATCGTGTATATGTAGCACATTTTTTAAATCTAGTCCTCTTTTGATGGGCAGCATGGTTGTTTCCAGGTTCTAGCTATTGTGAACAATGCTGCAATAAACATACATGTGCAGGTATCTTTTTTATAGAGTGATTTGTGTTCTTCAGGATATATTCCCAGTAGGGGGATTGCAAGGTCATATGGGAGGTTGATGTTTAGGGCTTTTAGGAATCGCCACACTGCTTTCCCAAGAGGTTGCACTAGTTTACACTCCCACCAACAGTGTAGAAGTGTT